ATGCGTATGAATGGATTGTTTGAGGTGGTGGTCGGAGGGGCAGAATGGCAGCCACGCCTCTGTCAGTCTGCCCCAGGGCAGCTGTGGCTACAATCGTAGCTACCACCACCAGAATGAATGTGTGTGAATGAATAATTGACAGTGTAAAGCGTCTTTGAGTGTCCAGAAAAGCGCTATATAAATCTGATCAATTATTAGTAGTAGTATTAGTACAAATGATATTGTTTAAAAATGTGTGTCTGATTTAATTATCAAACTGAGTTCTGCAAAGGAAAGCCTTAATATGAGACTAATTATTAAAGTGGTTCATCTGATTTTAACTGATGAATTCACATTATTAAATCTTAAACTGTCCTTCATAGTAACAGTGATTATACATAATAGGCTTTAATGTCACATTTAATGACCTACTAGTTTCTCAAGTCTGGTTTTCTCTTATATAATCAGCTTTCTGTGGTAAAATGTGATGAACTTGCAGGAACAACATTTGAATGACACAACAAATTGCAGGACTAAGCTCCTACATGAGCTAAGTCACATTGGGGGAAAAGCATTGAAGTGCTGCAGCTTGAACCTGCCTTGAAGTTTGGGATTCTGTTGTGCACAGGCCTCGGAAAGTTGGCCAGGTTCTTGTCTTCAATGTAGTCCCAAACTTTCTGACGAATGTCCCACTTCGACGCTCCTGTCGAGAAAACGAAGCACGTGTTTTAATTTTATTTATTTTTTTAACACAAACGACAAAAGTGAAGCACGAACGGAGCAACATTAGCTTAAATTAGCAACAGGCAGCGAGTTAAATTTTAACGACACAACAAATGTGACGGACGTTTAACCTACCCGGGTTTATTTTAATGACGGGCTCCATTGTGCTAATTACGATACAGCGTGGTTTCTTCTACACAACTCGGCTACACTTCGCGCATGGAAATCTCACACGTGAGCTCTGTAACATAATACTGGAGGAACAGCTGCTTGTCAATGTTTATCATTCCTACGGCGGCTCGGAAGGATCAGCGTGCTAAAACGCGAAAGCGAAAGAGGCTCCCCGGCCACCGTAGAAATGTGAGCGTACCTTTAATACGTTGTCGTACTACTGTGAAATAATAATTTTTTGTGTTTGTTCTTTTAATCTCAAGTGAAATAGCTTTATTTTACGTGAGTATTTCCATTTTTGCTCTGCTCCTTTCTTTTCCTTACTTCTTGACAAGTTTATTTGTGTCTCATCTTTCAACAAAGCAACTCAGAGTGGTTTATATAAAACTTAACAGGAAGTTGAGTCAAGCCATGACCTAAAATACAAAACAATATAAAAGTGACCGCCAAAAATGGGATTGAAAGTGAGCAACAAAACAGAGGATAGTCATTTAATGATATTAAATTGTTGGCCTCTTGTAACATTTTTTTTTTAACAACTACTTATTTTTAAATGAGGGATTTGATGCCTTTTTCTGTGGTAATTAATACACATTGACCTGATGAGTTCACATTATCTCTGTGCAAACTGAATTTGCGTAGGAATATTAAACAGTGCGTATGTTATCAACACACGCTGTACTCAGCCAGTTAGGCTTTTGGTTTCTTTCTTGTATTTGTTTTCATTTCTTGCAGATTCACACCGCTCAAAATGGTATTACAGGCGGCGGTGACATGGGAAAGTTGAAGACAGGATGGGATGGGCGGATGTAAATATTTGAGGTGCCCGGCCAAATGAATTTGCAAGGAGTGCAAACACAGACTATTGTCAGCGCGAGGAAGAGAGCAATTCAGCATCTCTGGTGGAGCACAGCCCAGCAGGATGAGGTTGTGGCTTCAGTGTTGGCCTTTCATGGCAGCTGGTTGTCTTGAATGACACTATAATTGTTGGCAAGCTGTTGGCAGTGATGACAGTGTGGTCGTGCATGGAAACCAAGTCATCCGTTGAAGTTGAGGTAACTGCCCAAAAATGGCCACCGTGCAGTCAAGTGAAGATGCATGCCTGCTGTGAGTGTTGTTGACCAGAGAATGTGTGTTGTGGGATGTGATGACAGCCAAGAGAGCTGATCTAAAGTTCCTGGGAAACAGCACTGCACTGCAAATAGCTCAGGGGGGTACTGTTTTCATGCATGGTTGTATTCCTGTCAGCAAAGTCTGAAAATTGGATGAAGGAGTAGTTGCTAAAAGTGCACCAGTCAAAATTATTTTAAATGTGGGTGACCAGCCATTATGCAGAAAAAAAAAACAAAAACATCAGGTCTGTTTGCTTCTCAGTGTGGGTTCATTAAAGCCTGCCGTAATGCTGAACATATTTACACACACTGAGTTCTTACATTTAGAAGCTGCAATTTAAAAAAAATAAAAAATCAGGGACCTACCAGGGTCACCCCTGTGGTATTCTGTCACATGAAACTGAAGGAGGAAAACAGTGGTTGAAAGCAAAGTTTTGCCAGTTCAAGGCCCCAACAGCAATATGGTGCCTCTGATGAATCACTGTTATCACGATTTTGGACTTTTTAGTGTTTTAGTTATTGGGATCATTAAACATTTGTGTCTCACCTTGAAACCACATTTCTCAAATTTTAATAGAACTCAGTTAAACTGGAACACAACCTGCAGGCATTTGGTGTCATGTGCATTTTAGACAGCCCTTGACCTCCATCCATCCATTATCTAGACACCGCTTGTTCCTCACTTGGGTCATGGGGGGCTGGAGTCTATTCCAGCTGAGTCAGGGCGAAGGCAGGGGACACCTGGACAGGTAACCAGTCTATCACAGGGCTACACTTAGAGACAGACAACCAAGCACACTCACATTCACACCTACAGACAATTTAGAATCACCAATTAACCTCAACATGTTTTTGGACTGTGTGGGATGAAGCCGGAGAACCCGGAGAGAACCCACGCTGCACGGGGAGAACATGGAGACTCCACGCAGAAAGATCCCGGGTGTCCTCACTCTTCTATCTGATGTGTCATTTTGATAATGTTTTAGATTAGATATCTATTTAAATTATATGCCCGAAATGATACACATCTAAAAGACTGATACTACTTCAAAGCGTGTATATTCAAGTATTTTCTTAGTATTTTTATGACTTGCAAAACGAAAAACACACACTTAATATTATGTACTTTCTAGGTCAGCAATCAGATTTATCAAATTTAATTTCCATTGAATCAGAGTTAAATTACACCCACATGGATTTGATCTACTTACCAGAGGCTTGGTCAAGGAAATCAGCTTGCAGTCATTGTTCAGCTGCTGTAAATATTTCTGTGCCACAAGTTTGAAGCAGCACATTGCTCAATTGCTAAGTAGCATCGTGATAATGGCAAACATGGCACCACAACTAAGAGAAAGAGTCAGAAATCAAATTATTATTGTAAGAAAAAGAGGCTCTCTCAGCATCAAATTATAGCTCAACTGAAGGTTTCTAATGGGGCAGGGCATGGTGCTTTAAAACGCTTTGTGGAAACTGGCACAGTTTGATCACAATTCATCCTGGGGGGAGACATGAACGTCTGTATCAAATTGCGTAGTTATCCGTCAAATAGTTATTGAGACATTTAATTAAAACTGCAAATGTTCATTTCATGGTGGCATTACTGGAAAAGTCAGAGACTCACCAAACTCAGCAGATTTCACCCCCAGGACACCGTGAGTGTTAAAAACCAAAGTTTATGTTGATCCACCCCAAAGTTCCAGGACGTGTCACAGAAATAGAAGTACAGTCGGTCTGGAATAGAGAATATAAACACAAATATGCCGGCCAAGCTGATTCTGCAGCAATAAACCAATACCACTCTGAATTATTTCACTAAATGATCAGTCCCACAGCCTCTGACCTGAAGATTCCTCCCACTCATCTGGCTGTTTTGATAAACCAATCTGAAAATATTAATGGTGGAATATCCGTAATATGAGCCAATGTTCCGCTGATTATATTGATTCACAATAAACAGACTTAACTGTGTGGGCAATAGGTTAAAAAGATTCTCTTGTTGCGGTGTCCTGGATACCTAGTTTGGCCTTTTTCACTACAGGACCATCCATCCATCCATCCATCTATACAGCTTAGTCACACCTATGGACCTTGTGGGAGGAAGCCAGAGAACCTAGAGCAGGGCTCTCCAATCCTGCTCCTTGAGAGCCACAGTCCTGCATGTTTTAGATGTGTCCCTCTTCCAACACACCTGATTCAAATGATCAGCTCATCATCAAGCGCTGCAGAAGCCTGATAACGATCCTGATCATCAGGTGTGTTGGAAGAGAGAAACATCTAAAACGTGCAGGACTGTGGCTCTCGAGGACCAGGATTAGAGACCCCTGACCTAGAGAGAACCCACGCTGCACGGGGAGAACATGCAAACTCCACGCAGAATGATCCCGGGTGTCCTTCTTGCTGTGAGGGAACGGTGCTAACCACCCAGCCAATGACAGGATCAGCTGTGTTTATATTGCTTTTAATTTAGTGGCTATGTGCTACTGAGCTACGCTTTCCCTTCAATAATTCCAGGACTGTCAGATAAATGTATGGTTTGTTTGCCACATCTTTTTTTTTGTCTATTTTGATATTTTTGTCTTGTTGAGCAGTCAACCAAACTTTCTCTTTGGAAATTACTTTGCTGAACTTGCTCCTTAACATTCGTATTATGATTTATTGATGTTGTTTTCTAACCAGAGGAGGGTTTGAATTACTCTTGTTTTATTGTACAGAGTGTTTCAGGAGACCGCTGCGAGTCTCTTCTGTTAACGATGATAAAGTTGACTCTTCTGTTTTTTTTTTTTTTCAGGTTTGAGAACATAATCACGTGACTCGACCACCTGCACGCACCAGATCCTGCCACTGGAGGGCGAGCTCTGCCAGCATGTTCCCTTCAGGAGAAAGCAGCACCATTTCCTGCTTTTGTGGAGGTAAGGGGATTCACATTTCTATGAAGTGTAACAGAGAAACTGTGTTTGAATGCCATGCATCTCTTTTCATCGTGCTGTCATCCAAGTCTCGCTGGCTTCTGTGCATTTGACACGAACTGACCTATTATCAGGTTTAACAACTTGCCTGCAAGTCCATCCACAAATTGTTAAGCGACATTCGTGCACACACACACATGCTGGGATGCTCATTCACTCACACACACAGTTTCCACGCCTCCAGTGGTCCATAACCCTCCTTGACACCCCATTCTCTCTCTCTCTGTCTCAGTCTGGGCAGGCTGCCAGCTCAACCCTCCCTCCCTTTTCTCTTTCTCTCCCTCTTTTTTTTTTTTTGCTCTGGATCTCTCCCTGTGTATTCTGTACATACCAAGCCAAGCCTCACAATGCTGCGATTACTAAACCAAGGGGCTTAGAAATTTGCTGCCGATGTCGCTGTTCCCAGACCTCCCTCCCTGTGGTGGACTCGCTCTGTGAGGCAGTGCAGCACACTTAGAGACAGCTCTGATGGAAGAGCAGGGCAGGTGGACTGTGGAAGAGGAGAAACCAAAATCACCTGTTTGGGAAATCTAGAACAACAGCAGACAAGATTATAAAAAAAAGAAGAAGAAGGAGGAACAGAGTCTATTCAGAGCTTAGGGTTCGCCGTGTCCACCCACCCCCACCCCTCTACTCTCTCGTATGCACACACTCCCCTCGCCTCTCCCCTCTTTCCTCCCCATTTGTCTCCTCCACTCTCCGATGCTGGTGTGGTGAACAGCAGGACACTCTCGGCCGAGCTGCATGGAGGCACAGGGAGGGGCAGGGAGCCCAGGTAAGAGCCATTTTCTATTCTTTTCTTTCTGTCACAGCTTTGAACGTGGCTGTTACAGGCTGCCTTTATCTATTCGGAGTGACTCGTGCTGTGAATATTCTGCCGGCTGTCCTTCTTCACATGTTCATGATGTTTGTAAATGAGGACTTGCTGAGTGTTTAGACTGTAATCTCTCTGAATAATGTTTGTCATATGAACTCTTGTCTAGTCAGGAGTTAATACGTTGGGGTTTAAATATAGCAGCAGTAGTACAGTGCCCTACCTGTGATCCAGCTGTGGATGGGTCATTTCTACATTCACCTTTAATGTGCTGCTTTACAGTCTTTTTTTTTTAATGTTGACAAACTGCAGGTCAGCCGTGCAAAAGCTGAACTGATGAAATACAAATTGCAAAAACAATAGTGGGAACATATGGCCTTTGTTTGAAGGCCATCCAGAGAAGCCTGTGCAGTGTGGGTAGTGCTGAACAATGCTTTAGTGCCACTATCGCCCTGGACGATCGTTAAAAGGGACGACGTTTTAACTATGTTTACGTACAGCACAGTCCAGGGTGATGTTTTTTAAGTCTTCATTGACGTACACATTATAAATTTAGCTTTGATATGAATTTTATGATGTGCAAAGTCAGTTTATTTGCCTGTGTGTTTAATTTTCTGCCTCTGAACCTGTGCATTCAACCACTATTAAAATGTTGTGTTGCTACTCTATTGTGCCTTGGGGTAAAACAATGTCACTGCAGCCACCGTAAGTTGCAATTTCAGCAGATACTCACAGTAATTGTTTTTTTGTTTTCCGGCTATGGCTTTGTTCCACCTATCGTTGTTTACTTGCTGCATGTTTGAGCCGATGGCCGGAATTACCTGCACATGACAAATTGTGGACATAATTTGTTCGTTATGACGGGATTGAATTAGAGCGAACGTCATTACTGTGATGCATCACAGAACCCAAGTGTGACTTCTGAACAGCGGTGTTTGTAATGCGGCCGACACAGCGACTGCCTTTCTGAATTAAGAAATTAGATGAAACACTTCACGCTCTACGTATGAGGTTCTGAATTAATGCACTACACACACTAAGACCTGTTGAGAAAGTTAATTCTAGAGTGAACCTTTTCTTAACTTTCGTCATCCCCTGTGGACAGTAATTAAGTTGGAGAAATGTGTATTCTAGTCTGGGGTATAATGCAGAATACAAGGGGGAAATAATGCAAGACAGAGAAATCAGCAGAAAGGGGGTGTTGGGAGAGCATGTTGATTCCTCCTGCCTGTGCAACACCATCAAACGGCAATTGATTTATTAAACCAAGACACTGAATTTGATTCAACTTTTGGCAGTCGTACAACAAATCGTTCTCATCCTCCCCCGCTCTCTGTCTCTACATCTCCCTCCATCTGCCTTTCTGTCTAGGGTGAGCTGATTCACAGACAGTCGCAGCTGACAGCTCGAGAAAGGGTCAGTCGGAGAAAAAAAAAAAAGGCCCACATGTATGATAGTTGGCTGTCACGTTTTTTTTTTTTACTGTGGCGTCTTCGCGAGGCGGTTCAGCAGGTGGCGGCTACGTCAGGCCATCTGTGTAAACTTGTTTTCCTGCACATCTGGATATGACCGGGACTTTCTCAAAAGCTCGTTGTGTGATTAACGTTGTGACTGGGACTCATCGCCTTCTTAAATATGAGGGCACAAACAGACATAGCTACACAAGTGATCCTGAGAGATTAATTTTTTTGTCTTTATGTCTTACATGTGTCTACAACAAGCAGCATTTGTTGCATATCGTTGGCCTCATAGCATACTTGCCTAAGTCATATTTTCATGTTTTTGGGAAATGAGAAAAAACACAATTTTTAGAAGTGACATTGGTATTTATTATTGATTTTTTTAACAGTACATTCAACCAGATGTGATTGGCCAATGACATGGGTAGAAAGACAGGATGATGCAGAAGTGATAGGAGAGTAAAGTTAGGCAAATATCTCAATTTGACCAAAAAATGACAATTATGCTATGAGGCTAACGATATTGTAAAACCATGTACACACAAAAGGTGCACACTCCAAACCCCACTGCTGTTTGGCTGGATGGACATCTATACGGATGGATGAAAGCAAAGATTGTTTGCCGAACACGGTGATGGAACCGGAAACCGAAGCTGCCGGGAGAGAGTCTAAATATTGAGCAAACATTTCATTATAGCAGCAGAGGTAAAGCTATAGTCTTTCAGCTGGTGTGGCTCCTCGCTGGGGGAAATCAATCAATAGGCAGCAATGAACACGGTGTTTCTCGGGGTGAGAAATCAGAATCCATCACGCTCCGCCGTCGCCTCGGCTGTAACACACGTTTCATCTGCAACGAGGAATTAAACAGTCTGGGAACATACTGCAAGTAGAAATGGTTTCAGCCATCTGGCGAGGCCCACCGGGAAGCTGCTGTACTCCCACATTATATTCCATCAACTCTGCATGTTGTCATGAAGTAACTATACAGTCAGAGTTTCTGGTAAATGTTGCTACACGCACACACACGAGTCTCCTTTTCAGTTTTTTTTCCCCTTTTAACGGGACATTTTTTGAACGTCTTAACCTCTAAAGAAATAAAGAAAGGATGGATGGATGGATGGACAGCTTAGCAGATAAACCTATTGCATGATTTTATCCAACATGAAGCATCATCTGTCGCCTCCTCTTTCCTGCACGCCTCACCTCACCGAGCCTCCTCACACATCACACAGTGTTCTCAGCCGTGTCAAGCAGGTGAATGTTTAACCTTGATCAAGTTTAACCGATTCCGAGTTCATGCGCACTCCCAAATGGGAATGGGATGCTATTTTAAGCAAATTCTATTTTCAGACTTTGTTAATAGCCTGTGTGAACTATTTTGAATAGATGTTTTTTTTTCAGCTGGCTTTACCGAAGAGCAGAATGCAGCTTCTTTATGAAATATAAAAATGACAATAATGCAACTGAATTCTGCCCAAATCTGTTTCAATCAATCTGTTCTGCAGGAATTAAAACCTTTAACACCGTCTGTATAGAGACACATACATTTACACGTAAAGTGAAAGTATTGAGGGAAGATGGAAATGTGTATATGGAACAAAAAGTCAAGCAGCTGAGATGCTTTAGCTTTACGACTTGATGCAGGTACCTGAGGATTAATGCCAGGCTGAATTGGATAGACTGCTTATACAAGGAGGATTATCGCTGAACATGACTGATAAACACATGAATAAGCGTTGAGTTCTATCAGGACCGAAAATCTCTTAACTGCTTTCTCCCCCCGTCATTACTTCACGACGTGTGTTTGCAGGCTTCATGTTATCTTTTAAAGGAAATCTAAAATCCTACCATCATGTTTTCTGCTCACATCTCTCACTCTGTTTTTTTTTCTGCGTGTGACGACAGAGCCCAATAAAGACATCCAGAAGCTGCTGAAGCCCTCCAGCTCAGGTGACCTATCCAAGGAGCTGCTCCAGCACTCATTAGGCGACGAGGAGGGCAGCCTATCAGGGCACACCGCTAGCCTGCTGCACATCACCGAGAAGAGACGTGAGTACCAGGGAACCGGCAAAGAGAGTGAGATACCGGGAGTGTGAAACGGTGATGAATATTCATTGGCAGTCAAGAGGTGTTACAGATAAATTATGGGTGGGAACTGCCTTGAGCGAGGCACCTGATCAATTGCAGGAGTCTTTAGTGAAGAAGGAGATAAGGACAGGAAGGCAGCGGATATCCTGTTCTGTTAAGGAGAGCCTTATCAGGGTCTGATCGGTGACGATAAATCCTGGTACCACGTATTGAAATGCACACAGCATCATTTCACACACATGAATATGAGCTATCTTTATTTTCATCCAGTGCAGTCCAGGTTTATCCTCTCTAGTCTCGAATCCCACCGAACGATCGCTGCCTATTTTAGGTATTCTGGTCCCACATTCTGAGAGATCGCTGCACCACGGCCTCGACTGAAAGGACTCATTGTGCATCAGGCCCATACAGAGGCTTCCCTCTATGTGCCAGACTCCCAGGGCACAGAAACACGGGGACAGATACAGGGGCTACATGGGTGACAAGGCAGCCTTTATCTGCTTCACTAACTAAACACTTTTTCAGGGAGACAGCTCATCCAGAGACTAATGTTTGTGTCTCTATGATTTAATGTAACCCCACTAACTAGCCATGCTACCTGTCAGGTCAGCTAATAGTATGTGACAGGAGAGATAAAGGGAAAGGAAGATAAGCCAAGATCAACGGAGAGAAACATCATTGTTGGTTCAGATATTTGCAGAATGCTGATAATCTTTAAAAACTTCTTGTTCGTTTGTTAAGGTTTTGCTCACGACGTTGCTGTCGAGGAAACGCAGCAACGCAGAAGCAAATTCTCTCCCAGTGCTGCAGTTTTATCTCCAAAAAAAAAAAAAAAACGGGGACCACAGTTGTTCCTGAGTCATCTGCGACATTTATTTTTAGGTCCAGAGCAAACAGCCTACCTTAAAAAGACAAGCATCTTAATATTCCAGAAAGGAGCAAGTTGCCATTTGGTTTGCAGGAATGAAATAACAAAAAAGCAAAAACAACATGCAGCAGAGGGAGATTCACAGATACAGCAAACACAGTAAACTTATAAAACTGCAGCATGAACAAATTGCACTGAGATTGGCTGCATGGGAGGGAATTGGAGATTAAAAATTTATAGTGACTCCTCGTACTCTGAGATTTTCCTTAATAGCAGATTCAAGGAGTCACGGGCAAGAACAAAGGAATCAAGGATTCTAAGAAATCTTTTGGTGCAACTTCAAAGCTAAATTATGTTTATTGGTAAACTTATCCAGCAAATGTTTTAATAGTGCCTGATTAGCAAGCAGAGAATAACTGGACCGGATTCCAGTGAGAGGTACAAACACTCTCCACAGAATATGTTGAGAATATTTAATACACCGAATGTTTAATATAAATGTCAATCGCTTTGCCTTGTTTCCATCAAAACCCTGTCGTCATTACAATCTGCTCAGGCTGGACTGATTGACCTCAGAGCCCCGGGTAGGCGAGAGAGAGGGGAGAAGGAATTACAGCATGCGAAGCACATCTCCTCCGTTCTCTCATCCCTTCTCCCAAACGTGAACCCCTCCCTCTTACCCATCCTGCACATTCTTTGTTCCTTCGGTTGAATCATCTGCACCTTTCTACATGCACAGAGAAGAAAAGGAGGGGAGTGGGGGGCAAAGAAAGAGAAAATTAAATTAAAGGAATTCCTTTTTTGGAAAAGCAGTTGTATTGTTAATGTGGCATCCAGAATTAAAGGCCCATTTGGGACACATGTTAACTGTATGTCTACATAAAATAACACAAAAACACGACTTTACGAGCCGCCACCCTGAACGCTGGATGGAAGAAGAGATATTTTACATTTGCTTTAGGCACAAAATCCTCTTTTTTTTTTCGTCTCAGCATGAGTTCTCTGTGTCAGTCCTCCCCACTGACATCTCAGAGCTCCTCCTGATTGGCTTTTGAGATGGAGGCTGTTGTTTCAATGTGTCTGCCTGGGATTGAAAACGCACTGATCAATTATTCAAGGAGAAGGGGTGTGGAAGAGGGAAAAAAGAGATGGGAGGGAGTTTTTTTAAAACAAGTGCAGCAGAATGGGAATAACCTTGTTGAAAATAATGACAAAAAAACGGAAGAAAGGACCGTCTCGTTTAATGTCTCTTCTTCGTCGACTTTCTCTCTCCTCCGTTCTCCTTTTATTGTTTCACGTTGAGCTTCAACTCTCCCTCTTCTCCCATCATCCTGCCTCTCCCTCTTCTCTCTTCATCTCCACCCCCACAGTCTCCTCCATGTTTCGCTGCCTCTAGTTTCTTCTTACCTCCCAAAAGTGGGAGGCTGATAAGAAAGCACCTTCCGGCCTTCAGGAAGAGGAAAATATATTCATAGGGCGCACTCAAGTAAATTGAAAAAAAAAAAAGGATATTAATTTTAAAAAATGGTTTTCTGTTATCTCAGCCAATAATTGTGTGTTGCAGTGTTTCTCCTCTCAATATAAGCAAACACTATCCAACAGTAGACGGAAACATGAGCAAAGCTTTGAGAGCTGCTGCTATTTAATCACATGTGGTTAATGGTGTGATAATGGAAACTGACTGGCATAACCTTTTGATGAAGTGCCATGTCTTCAACTTCAAAAGGCTTCATAGTTATTTATATTATCTCCCTTTTTTACTGCTTCCCTATTTTTCATTCCGTGTCCATGTCTGCTGTTGACCGTCCTTAATATATTTGAAACGTGCCACAATGATCAGCCGCTGTCTCGGCGTGATGCACACTCTCCTATAAATCAATGTGTGCTCAATCTGGAGGATGATGCGGGGAATGAAATGTGGCGGCAGACAAAGAGCGGGAGGCTCCTTGTGTTCGGCCTGAAACGTCGTCTTTAAACAGCCTGGAAAGCAGCATGAAAACAACACAGGATAATAACAGCTTTCAACCCGTCGTGCAAAACCCATCGTTTTCCTCGCTACAAGTCACGCCCTCACACAACCGGCGATGGGTTTCATTCAGACTTGACTGTGCGTGGCAGGCTGGCATCCACTGCAAGCACACCTCCATCTGTCTCGGTGCAGTCTCCAGACATCCTCCTCACTGCAACGGTGGATTAGTTCGGCTCCGTTACCCAGTTTTCTTTACTTGGGGTGTCGCTGAGACGAGCAGATGTTCTTGGACCTTTAGTGTGCTTTATGTATATATCGCTTGAGAATAAATTCTTACTTCACACCGATTGCATTAAAGTTTCAGCGTTTTGCAGGCAGCCCTGATTGGAATGCTGAGTCAGGCACTTTGACATGAATGTGACCCTGCTGTGTGCGGCAGTCGAGAGTCCTGTGTCTTGTGCCTGAAACGAACAGGTGCAACACACCCAGGAGAAAAACGGAGATCACGGTGCGTTAAAGAACCGGCTATTTTCATCTCCACTGAGCTCCTGTTTCAATTCTTCGGTCGCTGGTCGTGTCGACACGCAGGCGTCATGCTGAAGCGACACAGCAACGAGCTCGGAGACAACTTCAAGACTCCAACAGCACGTGAACATTTCTCTGAAGCAGAGATAACTTCGCTACAAGAGATGTACCGATTAAAGTGGAGGGAAAAAAAATGCAATTGATTTTGCAATTGAGCTGCAAGAGCCAGCTATTGATCTGATTATGAGCACAATAGAGAGTCGAGAGCAGCTTGCTTGAGCATGTATGCAGTTCATCCCCCACTTCTTCTCAAGAGCCACTTTGCTTCGGCGCCGTCAGCAAAAACAAGTGGATGATTTTAATCTCTCAGCTCCCCTCCACTCTCAAAACATGCTATTTTTCTCTCTGTTTCTCACAGAACCACTGAGCAGTGTGTCTTCTTTAGAGGTGCACTTTGACCTCCTGGATCTGACCGAGCTGACCGACATGTCCGACCAGGAACTGGCTGAAGTTTTTGCCGACTCTGATGAGGAGAACCACAATGAGTCCCCAGCAGGTAAGGCTTTGTTCAGGGGAGAACTAAAAATGAAACAGGGAAGTGGAAACTCTTCTTTGGCAACAAACAACACCCACATTGGTGCTTTGTAGAATTTCATTGTTATCCTCACACCACAGTGTCACTGATTGTGGATCCATACAGGAAGTTAAATAAGTTCACAATAGATATGACAAAGATGCAAACAAAGCGTGCACACGTACCTTTAGCAGGAGACAACAACATGCACCTGAAAGTTTGACTTTGTCGTGAAGATCTGCAGACATCAGCTATTTATGCAGGTGCAAGAACTTCAACAACTTCCTTTGTCAGTATAAAAATTTTTGCAACCTTTTGCCCCGTAGCTTCAGTCATATTAACTGAGAAGCATTTCCCAAATTAGTAAGTGAGGGAAATGGGAACAGTGCTTTTGAATGGGGTGGAGTGAAACAATGTGTGTACTTGTATTTTAAGGAGACATAACAGTTCACACAGTCAGATCTGTCATCATTTTGCTGACAAAAAGCAAGCCTGCACAACCTAAATTATTCAAATTTAGAATGAAGACTTGGGCGGCACAGTGGAGCTGCGGTTGGCACTGTCACAGCTAGAAGGTCCCTGGTTTGATCCGGGATCTTTCTGTGAGGGGTTTGCATGTTCTCCCTGTGCCCGTGTGGGTTTTCTTCAGGTGCTGCACAGGTTAACTGAGGATTGTAAAGTGGCTGTAGGTGTGAATGCAAGCGTGCATGTTTGTCTTTCTGAGTGCACCCTGCCTTTCATCAGTACCACAATTAAAAGACAGGCTTTTTTTTCATCAGGAAAGCACATTTTCTTTACTAACAATGCCCGTGCACAATATATATATTTGTCAGACGCTGTTTAAACTGGACCTTTAAATCTTGTGCTGACATGAAACTCTTTGTGCCCACTTTCGTCCACAGGGTGGGTTCAGAACATGTAGAAAGCTGATGGATGGACTTGGCTGAAGGTTAGAGTAGGTTAGGCTGTATGTGTGTGTGTGCAAGAGAGAAAGCTTGATATAATTATGCCCCAGCAGGGTCCTAAACCTGCTGAGCTGTAACCATCTCAAATGTCATTTAACTCCTTCAAGGACTCATCAAAATCATATTTCCGAGTGTCACGGATTATGATTAAAGATCTTGTAATGATTTGTAACATTTAGAGTCCAAAAGAAGAAGACGTGAATTCTTTTATTCTAGACAGCTGGAGCAGAAGGAAAATGTTGTGTTAAGCTGGGACTGCATCACACCAATCTCTTATTAGCCAAGTTAATCAAATGCAGTAGATGGGTTAAGAGGTGAGACAGTTCACTGTATGTCACAGCAGCAGGTACTGAATAAAGGTCAGCACATCTTTCTCACAGTTTGCAAAGGGAAGCACTAAATCTTCCCCATGTTTTATTTATGACCCGTGCGCCTCGTCCTGCATGTGGATGGTGAACTCTCTCCTCCGACACTCCAGCCTCTCATCATGCAAACGCCGTTTCACGCCAGCATGCAAAAAAAAAAACTTCCAATGGTGATACTGTTATCAGCGAGAGGTGGAACCAGGAGGAGGATGATTGTGTGACCGCTGTGTGGATCCACTGAAACATACAAGAAAAGCTTTTCCTCACTTTCCTTCTACATGCACCTCCCTCTTCGACAGCATCAGTCTCTCCCTTCCTTCCTTTTTCTGTTCAACACTAATGTTTTATATCATGGCACAGCTTGTTAAGTGCGAGTGATGGTCCCACTGGGCCATCTGTGCTACATGCGGCTGTCTGCAGCACCGCTGCCACTTATTTTAATTAAAGCTGTTATACAGCACTTAGTGCAGAGGTGCATCTTATCTCTAAAAATATATGTTTTCATTTGTCTCTTTGTGAAACCTCGCTCTGGGATGTACATAATGATGTGCTGACATCAGTAGTGTCAATCTTCACACATCACTATGAAGACAACTACACTAGCAGCAGCAGATTTACTTAAACATGCGATGTCTTGGCAACTTGAGGTCCCAGCAGGAACATGCCGAGAACACAACTGACATATTATCACCTTATTTACACATCCAGCATTAAAAGAAAAGCATTTTTATGCCTCTGCGCCAACAACAGCTTTATCAAAAGCATTATTTTTTGTGGTTCGATGTCTGTCCAGCCTGTTCTCCTAACCATGAGATCTCTTGAGCGCCTTGAGGGAATTCCTCAACTTTGTCACAAACATTCACTTGGACTCAAAAGTAAAAGATTTTGGATTTTAAAGGTCAGACGTCACTCTGGTCTCACAAAACACGATTTTGGCCATAACTCAAGAATTCACCGACTAATCAGGACAACATTTTACGCAGACGTCTAATAGGATAAAACAAAGTGCTGATTTTTCCAAAAGGTCAGCTTCACTGTGGCATCATAATGTTCTGCAAAAACCCCTTTCTGGCTAATATCCAACACCGTAACTCAGGAACAGAGGAGGAGAGTGTGACCGTATTTCACATTTGGTCAGATACGGATTCGGTGACACTAATTTTAAAAACCCATCTATTAAGTTCCCTCAAAGTCTTCACTGCATATATTATAAAAATCAGGACACACGTGGATGTAAATTCAGAATGTTGGTCTTATAATTATTCTCCTTTAGCTCTGTTTTTTGGACTTTGTCACTTTCAGAGGACGGTTTCTGGTTCTTCAGCTGCTAAATGTTCACCTATGTTCCCTTTCTGGTTGCTCTGTTTGTGTTTTGGTGCTGAGCAGGTTGTGTACAGGTGATTGTGGAGTATTTTCACTGCAAACAGCTGTCACAAGGACAAGTTGTTGGTTGGAGAGCTAAACAATGATCTGAAATAGACTTTGAAGTGTTTGAGCTTTAGGGGACTGCAGATTCAGGATCACAGGAGCACAGGTTTTGGTGTTTTCATGTTATTTTGACTTTGACAAATAGAGTTGCTTTAAACTGGATGGAAAAAAAAATAAGAGCGTGAGCATGTTTGACTAGTAAATCTAGATTTTAATGTCTTAAACTCTTGTTAGAGAATAATCACGTCTAACCATATCCTTCTAATCTTAGTGTTAAGAATATAAAACGATTACGCTCTTTTAAAAGTGATGTGCAGGGATTTATAGCACTGTTTAACGTGATCTCATACAAAATGGGTTAATACAGTTATCTGAACAGGAATTTAATTCAAGTTCTTTGGTGCATCATATTACATTCTGCTGAGATTAGAAAATCAGTTTGTTTAATGAGGACAGTTCCACAAGGTTTCCCACCTTTTCAAATGGATAAAAGGATTTTCGCTCAATGATAATTAAACACATCAACACCAGTGCATTAGCTCAGATCTCAGTGATAGTAGGATATTCAAGAACTTTATTGCCATACGTACACGCAAAAGGAATTTTTTTGTGCGGGGCTAAAATACAAGAAATAAGAAAATGACAACCTTTCAGAGTAAACCTTAGGCCTGGAACAACAAGTTGGGAGTTTTATGAGTGTACCTTTGCCTCACAACAACCATCTTTCCACAGCCAAACAGTTTCACCTCATCTGCCCATTTAGCTGTCAGGTCCATCTCCATCACGCCAAGTTCTGTCAGCCTCTTGTTAGCCACAAGCCACAGCTCCTTTTCAGGTGGAGGACAAGTAACAGCCAGTCCACCTCACTTCTGCTGCTCTGGAGGTGTACAGCTGTTATATTGTGTGTCATTTACTCAGTCTGTTACTCAGAGACGAGCAAAAATCTAATAAAGATCAACTGTTTGCAAACTAAGAACAGCATGTTCAGATGCTATTGCTCATCTGAGAGACATTAATTAGTATCAAGTCAGTCATTATTGTAGTTTTACCTGTCTGAGTAAAAATAGCTCAGCATTGTGTGAGCGCAGCATACATTTCCTGCTCTTTATTTTTACATAAATGCATCATTTTATGAAGTATTTTTCTTCTAAAGAGTCTCTCTACCTGTGGGTTATTTCATCTCACATGCAGCAGTCACAATCCCCCTCTCCTTCACTCTCTGTCACTTAGCTCGCCTTTATCCTTATTACCAGTCTCCCCTTCTGCATGTCTGGCTCAGGTCTGGTTTGCACAGAAGAGGGATAATCACTTCAAATAGACGCATCAGAATGGATGGGCACCAACTACAAAGTGTAGCTGGTTTAAGAAAAGTCATCTGCTCGCAAAAGACATGAAACAGCTGTTTCTGCATAATGTTTTCCAGCATTGAGAAAAGACGATTTTATTGGGCCTCAGCAGGTGGGACAGTGCACCAAGCCAACGAGCCAACGTTCACATGAGCGTTTAAGAGAGGTTAACAAAACAGACAGATGGGCTGTCTGGAAATAGGACCACAGAGGTGGACACAGACTGATGCAACACAAACAATGACTCTGTCAGAAGTGTTAAAATGTCACCAGCTAATGAAACAACAGTGCAGCTTAAAGCAGGTGGTGTAAACACATACATAGTGTGAACTGACAAGTCTTGAATGCTGGCAAAGACATCCTGCTGGAGGTGGATGTGCAAGCAGAGCGTGGTGTTTTGTTGCTGTCAGTGTCCCTCAAACTAAATCCACTATATAGTCAGATACAACGCTGAAGCTTATTTTGCTGATTTTTTTTTCTTCCTAAAAGTTTCATGGGCTGCACGGTGGAGCGGTGGTTAGCATTGTTGCCTCGCAGCAAGAACATCACCGGTGAGGACACCCGGGACCTTTCTGCATGGAGTTTGCATGTTCTCCCCGTGCAGCGTGGGTTCTCTCCAGGTTCTCCGGCTTCCTCCCACAGTCCAAAAACATGTTGAGGTTAATTGGTGATTCTAAATTGTCCGTAGGTGTGAATGTGAGTGTGCTTGGTCGTCTGTCTCTAAGTCAGGGGTGTCCAATCCTGGTCCTTGAGGGCCACAATCCTGCATGTTTTAGATGTTTCCTTCTTCCAACACACCTGATTCAAATGATCAGCTCATCATCAAGCTCTGCAGAAGCTTGATAACGATCCTGATCATTTGAATCAGGTGTGTTGGAAACATCTAAAACATGCAGGATTGTGGCCCTCGAGGACCAGGATTGGACACCCCTGTTCTAAGTGTAGCCCTGTGATAGACTGGTTGCCTGTCCAGGTGAACCTGCCTTCACCCTGAGTCAGCTGGGATAGACTCCAGCCCCCCTGTGACCCTAATGAGGATTAAGCGGTGTATAGATAATGGATGGATGGAAAAGGTTTCATAGGCCAAAGTTGTATCCCTGCTTTTGTTATGTAAATGTAAGCATTAATACTAATTAGAGAAATGTAGCTTTAATGTGCAGCTCCATTTCACAGCAAGAAAGAGGAAATATTCCACCTGTGAATAGAGATTTTTCTTTTATCCAATACAGATGTGCTGTGCAGATAAGGACAGCTGTGTGTGTGAGAGAAAGAGCGAAAGGACTTAGCCAAATGGCGACCTATTGCACAAATCTCAGCTGTGAGGACCAGCTGTTGCGTTTCATCCGGATCCCCTAAAATCTCCTCCATTATTCAGCCCCGTTGTGTCATGCGAGCCATTTTTCATTAGTCTCGAACAACCCGGCTACAACTACAATAGGTACGTGTTGCAAAGTGAATCATGGCTGCGTAATAGAAGCAGAGCGGAAAATAAAGAGGCGAGCTGGCCAATAAAGCCGTCAGTGACTTCAGGGTGAGGCTTAAATTGAATTATTTTCTGTCGGCGTTTGCATTGCAAATGTGGGTCAGGTAGCATTGAGCTGTGCTGTGTGGGTATTAGGCTCCATGGGAAACTGCTGAGCGCATGTAGGAGTTGAGGAAGCGGTGAAAGAAGGGAGAGGAGAGGAGCAAAAGATGGGTGAGCGAGTTCATGCTAAATGTAGGTTTCTAAATAATTCACTTTACCCTGCTGGAAACAAGGCCTGATCCTTCAAAAAGCCATTTAAACGGCCATAATCGGAGCTTTTGCACATTACTTATATATGTGTGTGTCATGTTTGTTTTTTTTTTAGTCTGCGGTCTGTTTTCCCACTGCTCATTTATACATTCCTCTGCTTCACTTTCAGCTATTGGCAGCTTAAATCCCGTTTCACTTAAAAACTGGAGAACATGGTCAGCTGTACTTGGGAGCTGGAATCCAGAGAGCTAAGAACAACAGTAATTTGTGCTTCATCGAGCATCTCTTGCAGCCACAGGGACACGAAAACAAAAGGCTGATGTCCTTTGTTTCACATCCAGACGAGCTTGATGAACCATAAAGTTTACCCACAAAAAAAAAAAAGTACCACCAGCAGAGCTTTTGCTTTCTATTCTTTGCCGTTGGAACAGTTGTAAATGATGACTGTGCAGACCAGTTGGTATGAGGAAGAACAAATAGCTGATGTGAGGGGATGATGTGATGCAGCGAACAGGGAAAAGAAATTCACACCAGACAGTGTCTCTCGATTGGGTCCCATCTCTGACGCTTTATGTTCTGTTTTGTGCAGTAGGATCTCACACAATACATCAGGCCACACCCGGACCAGTGATGTCAGAGCAGGTGTTTCCAATCTGCTGTCGGCGACGCAACACTTCCAATGATGTCACTGCTTGAGTTGTAGCCAGAAGTAAAGCACACTTAGGTTAAGTTTTGGCCCACAGAGACTGCAGCAGCAGCAGCTTTCTGTTTCGTGTCATTCAGTGGTAATTTCTCCTCTAGGAGCTCGAGACCACATTTAATAGAGCATCTATAAGCGCTTCCTCGAACGTACAAGGTCAAATTCGGTCTCAGCTTGCTGCCTTTAGGGCCGCTCCAGGCTATTAATGGCTCGGCAGATTGTTATCTTTGATAAATGCTCGCCCTAGTTCACAAACACAGGTTGGACTGCGCTGGGATTCGCGTGCACAAATAAAACAAGTGTTTTTCTTCTCCTAAAAATGGTCGAAAGAGACAAAATGTGTGCATGAATTTTGGCGTTCTGCAACAATTGTTTTGTCTTCGCAGAATCTAGATTACATTATGCAGCAGCTGAAGAAACTCAGCCAGCAGCACAGTGAAGCAGTTACCCCCATAGCTTCTGAGAGCAAGAGACAGAAAGGAGAAGAGAGAAAATCTATTTATGGTGCAGAGGAGTTTGTGGTTATCTTACCTTAGCTATGCAAACTATGTATGAGTTCAATTTTTCCCTCTGAATACATATTTGTCAGTCTTTTTAATTAGTTGTCATGATGTTGGAGATCAAGAGAAATCTCTACAAAGCAGAAGCAGAAAATACTTGAATGTCTTCTTCCACAGACCGTCAACATAGTTTGCACACATTGCAGACGTTTATGTAACGGCGTAAACACAACAAGCAGTCATCATCGGCGGGCGTCGGTGGCGCTTGCTGCGGCACTCTCCGTCCTTCTTCTGAGGAGGTCATTAAAATCCAGTGGAGACGCCATCAATCATCTGAGATCAATACGTCCCTCTCCTCCTCCTCCTCCTCCTCCTCCTCTCTTTGTCTCTCGGTCTCTACAGCATGTGAGGTTATGGATGTGCCTATGGGGAGATATATAATCCAGGTACTGAGCATGACGTTCACTTAGGAGACCCAACATTAGGCTGATACGGGCAGTGAAAGGCCGAGTCAGTTGTCAGCTCTCTATCAGTCATTCCCTCTCGTTGCTTTGTTGCCTCCCCGGTAGGTTCCACGTCTCCACCAAGTGGTCTGAAGCTGCAATGGCCACAAAAACCTGTACAGCTACGATTAAAAAGACAAGAAATGAAACAGATGGTCAAGTTAAGTTACAGCAGAGAGATTATTGATAGTGTTTGTTTTTTAATTTTTTTATTTTCTGGTTCATTTAGAGAGAAAGAAGCTTTTTGTGTGGGAAAAAGTACCCCAGTATTCTCTTTTAGATGTCTGGTTTTCATCACACTTTGATATTTTAGAGCAATTAGTGACAGTTTTGAAGCACCACCAGTCTGACCTGTGTAGAAATGGCTGGTATGTACTGTATGTACGTACAGTTATGTGTGTGCATGCATGACCTAAAAGCTTTTTATGACCAACTGTACCCCGCAAGATTTATGTTGCTCCTCAAGTGCTGTGCAAATATACTTTAAGTAGGCTTAGAGCAATGTTTACGAATGCCAGTAAGCATCAAGATAGTTAAATTTTACATTCAAATGGTTTCACTGTCCTTCTGGTTTTTTTTATAACAAAAACCTGCATCTGTATTTCATCTCCCCAAGTGTTTAGATCTGACAACTCATCATGTGTTTGTTTGTTTCCCAGGTTCCCACCAGCCCGTGCTGCCCAGAGGTGGGTACATGCGGTCCCCCTCGTGGACGCGCTGCAGCAAAGTCGAGCCTCCGCGCGAGAGGAAGCACCACAGTGACTCAGACACCGCAGAGCCCTTAATGAAGCTTGAAAGGCCAAAGCAGCCATGATATCTGATGTGAAACAGTCGGACCGCGGAGAGGGGGAAAAACCCAGAGGGGGCGGACACACAGCCGGAGCGGTAACACAAAGCGGACCAAGAGGCCTCCATCTGCCACCGTGCACACGCATAAGATTTCATGGTGCTGACAACTTCAAGCTGAACTCTGGACACTGTGCTCTGTTCTCTGACTGAAGATGTTGAGATGTGCAACATACACACTCTCCTCCTCTCTCTCTCTGCCCTCTCTCTCTCACACACACACACACACACACACACACACACACACACACACACACATTCAATCATTGTGTTTTTCATGCAAAGGGTTCCTAATGCACTCTGGGCCGCCAGGCAGTTTTAAGCTTTGTTTTCTTTTTTGGTTGTCAGACAGGGTATGAGGTCAACAGAATAACGGCACTTTCATCCGTACAGCCTCTCAGGGTGGGCCTGCGCAGCGAGACCGACGCTTAGAGCGAGGATAGACCCTCCATGAGATGTTGGAACAGCAGGAATCGCTCTGAATTACCGGGACATGAGGTGAAACATAAATCAGCAGACAAAATATCACGCTGGCGCTCACTGACGCTCATCGTGTTGCTTGTAAATGTGGTTTCTGTTGCCTCTAAGGTAACCGGAGCAGTGGATTTGGGTTTCAGTGAGTCTCAGCTGTTTCCATAACACCTTCTCCATCCTAATGAAGAACGTGTGCTCTTATTTTAAATGCCTCGACATAAATATTGCACTTCTTTCACTGAATTGTATTTTGCGATGCCCTCCAGAATTATTGGCATTTGGTACAGATGACTCAGAAGATAAACAGACCAAGTAGCAGCTATATGCAATACACATTTACCATACTCTAATTTGTTTAGACTAACTTTCTTTCCATTTTCTCTCGTCATTATGAAAGTGATGGCTGCCACAAGTGCTGCTGCTGCTCAGATTTTTAATGTGATCTGCAGAGTTTCGGGGGGTCAGATTCCATCCGCATCAGCTACACCAGTAATACTTGAAGCGGTTGGAAATGAAATCACACCACGGTCAGGTGGATTTGTGTGGATGCCAAAAAACACAACAAAGTGCCAACAATTTTTGTAAATCATTATGTAAGGATGAAGTCCTAATGCAATATTTCCTATCTCTCTATCAGCAAAGGAAATAGCTGATTACTTGATTTATTTGTCGTGCGTTAAGCTTGTCTATACCAAGAGTGCCAATAATTCTGAATGCTGTGACACGATGGATTAAAAGTGACACTGGGATGGTTGAAAAAATAAATGAAACGAAACAGTACGGGTTGTTGTGTGGTTTATGCAGTCAGTGCACTGTGCAGGAGTCACGTTCTGTATCTGTAGCTGGAGAACACGGCATCACATGATTTTAGTGTGCAGTTACACTAAAATATACAAATCTGCAATTTAGAAAATTGCACTGGCGCTTGGCATGTTTACAGCCAATTTTGTGTCCGCTGTTCTCTAAACATCAAGGAGAAGAACCACACAGAGAAGGCAAAACAGAAGATAATTGGTCTCAGAGCAACTCGTATGCACGTTTTTTTTTCCTCATGCAACGATGTGGTGCCTTACAAAGATCAGATATTTATTTGAACGCGAGAATAAATTAGCACAATGTTCGGCTTTTTCTAATGCAACAACTGCTTAGATCTCAAAGAATTTGGATAAATTCTAAATTATTAAAATAGTTTGTGCAAACAAGTAGTGAAAA